TTTTGAGACAGAGTCTTGCTCTGTCACCCACGCTGGAGTGCAGTGACGCAATCTTGGCTCACTGCAACCTCTACCTCCTGGGTTCAAGCGATTCTCCTGCCGAGTAGCTGGGATTACAGGTGCACATCATCATACCTGGCTAATTTTTGTATTTTTAGTAGAGACAGGGTTTCACCATGTTGGCCAGGCTGGTCTCGAACTGCTGGCCTCAACTGCTCCAGCCGCCTCAGTCTCCCAAAGTGCTGGGATTACAGGCGTGAGCCACCACGCCCAAACCAGCCCACGACCCCTGTGTAAATACTTTAAATGTATTAACCAGTTAATCTGTAAACGACTCTATGAGGTAAGTACTGTTATTATCCGCATTTAACAGAAAAGAAAACTAAGACACCGGGAAGTGCCAAACCCAAAGTGGAGGAGCCGGGATTCAAATCCAGGACCTGTGCTCTTAAGCACCATGTTATTTACTTAGGAAAATAATAATAATTGAGCATCTACCAAATGCCAGGAGCTTTCAGACACATTCGCTTTCCCACAGAGCACTCACATTTACCCTGGGAAGAAGGTACCATTGTTCCATTTTATAGACAAGAAATCTAAGGCTCAGAAAACTTTAGTACCTTGCCAGGGTCACACTCATATAACCAGCAAGCACAGATTCAACCACGATTTGGACAGCCCCAAAGTCCACACTATTTCTCTCCTACCATGTGTTTTTTGTTTTTTTCTTTTTCTTTTTTTGAGACAGGGTCTCACTCTGTCACCCAGGCTTACACGCAGTGGCAAAATCATACGTCACTACAGCCTCAAACTCCTGGGCTCAAGTAATCCTCCTGCCCCAGCCTCACAAATAGATGGGACCACAGGTTTGTGCCAATGTGGCTGGCTAATTATGTGTGTGTGTGTGTGTGCGCGCGCACGCACGCGCGCGCGTACACACACACACATGCGCACAGGCAGAGATGAAGCCTTGCTATGTTGCCCAAGCTGGTCTTGAACTCCAAACCTCAAGCAATTACCCTGCCTCAGCCTCCAAAAGTGCTGGGATTACAGGTATGAACCACTACACCCAGCCTGGTTCTTTCCCAATAGCACAGTCTTGCAACAATGAGCTTTACTTTAAGCCAAAGACCCAGGTTCAAATCTTGACTCTGACTTATTATACCTCCTACATTTCCAGCCCTCAGTTTCTTCAGCTATGAAACAGAGCTGGGGACCAAATGATTTTTTTTATTTTTGAGACAGAGTTTCACTCTTGTCACCCAGGCTGGAGTACAATGGTACAATCTTGGCTCACTGCAACCTCCGCCTCCTAGGTTAAAGCGATTCTCCTGCCTCAGCCTCCCAGGTAGCTGGGATTATAGGTACCTACCACCACACCCAGCTAATTTTTGTATTTTTATTTATTTATTTAGAGATGGAGTCTCACTCTGTCACCCAGGCTGGAGTGCAGTGGCACAATCTTAGCTCACTGCAGCCCCCACCTCCCAGGTTCAAGCAATTCTCCTGCCTTAGCCCTCCAAGTGGCTAGGATTACAGGCATGTGCCACCACACCCAACTAATTTTTGTATTTTTAGTAGAAATGGGGTTTCTTCATGTTGGCCAGTCTCGAACTCCTGACCTCAGGTGATCCACCGGCCTCGGTCTCCCAAAGTGCTTGGATTACAGGTATGAGCCACTACGCCTGGCATGGCTCTTTCCTAATGGCAGAAACAGTCCTGTAACAAAGTTTTACTTTAAGCCAAAAGACCCGGGTTCAAAGCTTGACTCTGACTTAACTTACTATACCTCCAACCTCTCCAGATCTCAGTTTCTTCAGCTATTAAACAGAGCTGGGAGGACCAAATGATTTTTAAGATCCCTTCTAGATTTAGATTCACTAGTTCCCTCTCATTAATCAGCACAGAGACTTGGAACAAAAGTTCAGGATCCATGGCTACCCCCAGAACAGCAGGGGTGTTGTCAGCCAGGCCACTTGGCTCCCAGCTCACCTAGGCCAGAGAAAGCAGCAGCTGCCTTGTCTGCCTCCCCTGTGCTCACGAAGGCTACCGACCTAAACGCAGGACAGAGACTTGGGGCCACTACCACCCTCATGACCTATTCTTAGCCCAGCCTCTCAGGGTGGGTGAGGAAGGACGGTGGGCCAAGGACAGAAGGACTCTTTTCTAGGTTCCAATGGCTTCTAGGGCACCACCCCAGGGCCTGTCACTAAAATCTTCACTGGGACTGATAAGGAATATCTCACCAGAGCCAAGACCCGTCAGGCATTTGAGGGAGCTGCCTGTGAGAGAAACCAGGGTTTTAAGCAGATAACCAAAGCTGGGCTGACTTTCAGGACACGCTGGAGACACTTATTCTAGAAGACACTTAGGCTTACATCAAGGGAGCAGTTTTATCTTTCAGAATTCCCCTTTATGTCTGGAACGTTTTTGTGCAATAAACTTACTGGCCGGGAGTTTTGAAAAACGAAGGCAAGCAAGCAAAGGAGTGGATGGGTGGAGCTAAGGCGCTGTCTCAAAGCCCCGGCTGGGATTGCTTTTCTGGGCTATTGCCATGCATTCTGAGTGGCGGAGATAATCCAAGGAGATCCAGGGAAAAGGGCACAGCCTAGGGGGTTCCACTCCTCTGTGAGTATCTCAGAGCGGGGGCTCTGTCTGTCACAGGCTAGGGCGAGGCTCTTCCACAGGTGGTGATGGGATTCTGCCACACGCCGCGGGGATCTGATTTGGCGCAGGGTGGGGTCTGTGCCGGGTCTGACACAGGCAGGCAGGGCAATGAGGTGGCATCTCCCAAACAGGTCAGGGGCCAGCTCCTAACTCCAAGGAAAGGCGAGGGAATGGCGAAATGGGCTGGTTCATCCCCACCCCACTGCACACCCTACACACAGAGACACACACGACCCCGCTCGCCACCGCCTGCCCAGTCAAGCTCAGGCTGCCCAACGTAAGTCTGCAAACACGAACTGCTAGTGACACCCGCTACCCCGGGCCCCCCAGGAGCGACACGCGTGCAGATGCTACTGTCACGGCTGGGAGAAGGGCCTCCGCTCCAATAACTCGTCCACCACGGCAGCTAGCCCAGGCTTCGCTGCGCGAGGCGACAACGGGCCGGTCTGGCTGGGACAGCAGAAGACCGGGGTGCACTCACATGTTGAAGACGTTGCGCTTGTTGCTGAGGTAGCTCTCGGGCAGCGGGGACAACTCCTTGAGGAGGGAGCCCGCCAGCATGGAGGCCACCAGCGCCCAGGGCAGATAGCGCCGCACGGCCGCCCGCACTAGCGTCCCCCTGAGGAACCACGCGCAGCGCTCCAGATGCTCCATGCCCGATGTTGTCGGCCACCGTCCACCTCCTTGTGCCCTCTCGGCCACCGTACTGCCCTTCGCCCGGACCAGCGCCTCCGCCTCCCTTCGAACGCATGCGCGCCGCCCACGAGTCCCACCCCATGCGACGTGCTAGGGCTCCGGAGCCCGTGCTCCCCCTCGTGGCCACTAGCTGCCTCTGCAGGGTGCCGGTCCCCGAACTCCTGGCTCCCCTCTGCTCACTCCTGGCTCCCCTCTGCGCTCTCCTGGTCGCCCCGGCGCCGCCAGGCCACACGCTGTAGTCCTGCAGGTTCCAGTAAGCCTCTGTGTCTTGCTCTGGTCTGGGAAAAAGCGCTTGTGAAAGTATTTGCCGGAGGCTGGAGGAGGATAAATGTAGTCCTGGAGATTTGGAACAGTCGTCACAGCATCATTAAGTCTTTCTTGGAGCAAAATCTTTGGGCAAAGAGTTTTTTTAATTTGACTCTGAAAGTACTGGCAAGAAAAGCAAAAACAGACAAAGGGGATTACATAAAAATGAAAACCAGTCCCGGTGCGGTGGCTCACGCCTGTAATTCCAGAACTTTGGGAGGCCAAGGCAGGCGGATCACCTGAGGTCAGGAGTTGGAGACCAGGCAGGCCAATATGATGAAACTCTGTCTCTGCTAAAAATACAAAAATTAGCCGGGCGTGGTGGCGGGCATCTGTAATCCTGGCTACTGAGGAGGCTGAGGCAGGAAAATCACTTGAATCCGGAAGGCAGGGGTTGCAGTGAGCTGAGATCCCCCCACTGCACTCCACCCTGGGCGACAGGGCAAGACTCCGTCTCAAAAAAAAAAAAAAAAAAGACAAAAGATAAAGTGTCGGTGAGGATGTGAAGAAAAGACAGCGCTTGTACACTGTTGGTGGGAATATAAATTAGTACCGCAGTTATGGAAAACTGTACCGAGGTTCCTCAAAAAACTAAAAACACGATTACCATATGATCCAGCAATTCCATAAGAGCTGAAATCAGTATGTCAAATAGATGTGTGCACTCCCAAGTACATTGCAGCACTATTCACAGCGGCCAAGTTACAGAATCAGCCCAAGCGTCCATCACTGAGTGGATGGATAGATAAGAAAATGTGGTATATACACACGCTGAAATACTATTCAGCCTTTAAAAAAAGAAATAAATTCTGTCATTTGTGGCAATGCGGATGGAATTGGAGAACTTTATACATAGTGAAATAATGGATAGGGACACAGAGACAAATAGCACGTGGACAAAGGCAATACTTATATGTAGAATCTAAAACAATCAAACACATAGAAGCAAAGAACAGAATGGTGGTTACCAAAGCCTAGGGGGTGAAGTGGGAATGGGGAGATGATGGTAATAAGGCCAAAGCCTTAGACAGGAGGAATAAGTTTTGTTTTGTTTTGCGGGCTATCGCATGGCATGGTGAATATGGTGCATTATAGCGTACTATGTTTTGCTTTTTTTTTTTGAGATGGAGTCTCACTCTGTTGCCAGGCGTAGTGCAGTGGCGCGATCTTGGCTCCCTGCAACCTCCACCTCCTGAATTCAAGTGATTCTCCTGCCTCAGCCTCCCCAGTAGCTGGGATTACAGGCGCCCACCACCACGCCCGGCTAATTTTTGTATTTTTAGTAGAGACGGGGTTTCACCACATTAGCCAGGCTCCTGACCTCGTGACCTACCGGAGTGCACTCATGTGTTGAGGACGTCGCGCTTGTTGCTGAGGTGGCTCTTGGGCAGCGGGGACAAGAATTCAGCTGGGCGCGGTGGCTCACGCCTATAATCCCAGCGCTTTGGGAGGCTGAGGTGGGCGGATCAGAAGGTCAGGAATTTGGAGACCAGCCTGACCAACATGGTGAAACCCCATCTCTACTAAAAATACAAAAATTAGCCGGGCATGGTTGGGTGTCTGTAATCCCAGCTACTGGGGAGGCTGAGGCAGGAGAACGGCTTGAACCTGGGAGGTGAAGATTGCAGTGAACCAAGATCACGCCATTGCACTCCAGCCTGGGTGAGACAGGGTAAGACTCCATCAAAAAAAAAAAAAAAAAAAAATCCATGGGTTTATAATGGTAACTTGAAAAACTAATGGCCACATTCAGAGGAACCAACTCATTATTTTGAAAACTAGTAAACAAAAGTAAAGAATCAAGCATTTTTTTTCTGTCTTTCCCATGTGAACTAAACCACTGAGCAACCAGGCAGTGGCAGTAGGTCAGTTTCTTTTTACAGAAATATCTCAATAAATGAAGAGGGAATGATAGAATATCATCATATGTAACATGTAAGTAAAATTTAAGTTTGTGATAGTGGTGAGTCACATTCATTAAAGAAGAGAGAGTTGCGGATATTCATAAACAGAAAACTCTTTTTTTGTTTTTGTATTTTTTATTTGTTTGTTTTTGGATAGGGTCTTGCTCTGTGCAGTGGCAAGATCTTGGCTTACTGTAACCTCTACCTCCTGGGCTCAAGTGATCCTCCCACCATCATGCGCCACCACACATGGCTAATTTTCAAAGCTTTTTTTTTTTTTTTTTGTAGCGACAAGGTCTCACTATGTTGTCTGGGCTGGTCTGGAACTCCTGGGTTCAAGCGATCCTCTTGCCTCAGCCTCCCAAAATACTGGGATTACAGGCACAAGCCACTGCACCTGGCTGAGAAAAATTTAATAAATTAATTTCAGCAGCACTTACTAAATCTCTAAAAATTAACCTTAAGGCCAGGCGTGGTGGCCCAGGCCTGTAATCCCAGCACTTTGGGAGGCCGAGGCGGGAGAGCACTTGAGGTCAGGAATTCGAGACCAGCCTGGCCAATACAGTGAAACCCAATCTCTACTAAAAATACAAAAATTAACTGAGCATGGTGGTGCACACCTGTAGGCCTAGCTACTCGGAAGGCTGAAGCATGAGAATCACTTGAACCCAGGAGGCAGAGGTTGTGGTGAGCTGAGATCACATCACTGAACTCCAGCCAGAGTGACAGAGTGAGACTTTGTCTCAAAAATAAAACAAAGCAAGACGACAACAACAAAATTAGTCAAAGGGGTGTCATATATGCCTCGCTACTTGGGAAACTGAGGCCGGAGGATCACGTGAGCCTGGGCAGTCCAGGCTGCAGTGAGCTGTGATTTCGCCACTGTACCTTGCATGGGTGACAAAGTGACACCCTGTCTGAAAAAAAAAATTGTTCTTTATATCTATATTAGGTTAAAATGCCAGTGATTCATAAGGAGATTAAATTCTGCTGGGGGCAGAATACTAAAAAATAAGGGTGTTTATTTCCATTTTAAAGTAAATTGTTGGCTGGGTGAGGTGATGCACGCCTGTAATCCCAGCACTTTGAGAGGCTGAGGTGGGCGGATCACTTGAAGTGAGGAGTTTGAGACCAGCCTGGCCAACATAGTGAAGCCCCATCTCTACTAAAAATAAAAAAATTAGCTGGGCGTGGTGGCATGTGCCTGTAGTCCCAGCTACTTGGGAGGCTCAGGTACGAGACAGAATCGCTTGAACCTGGGAGACAGAGGTTGCAGTGAGCCAAGATTGCACCACTGCCCTCCAGTCTGGGTGACAAGAGTGAGACACTGTCTCAAAAATGAAAAATAAAGTAAATTAGTTACAGGAAACTATGATTCCACCACGTATTCCAGCCTGGGCAACAGGGCAAGACCCTGTCTCTAAAATACATAAACAAACAAATAAATAAAGTAAACTGGCTTGTATCACTTGATTAAATGGCAAAATGTAGGAGTTCTTTATGGGTTAGGAGGATCCATCAAAGATTCCATTTAAAATATCCTTTAGGCTGGGCGCGGTGGCTCACACCTGTAATCCCAGCACTTTGGGAGGCCGAGGAGGGCGGATCACAAGGCCAAGAGATTGAGACCATCCTGGTCAACATGGTGAAACCCCGTCTCAAAAAAAAAAATATATATATATATCCTTTATAATGTACTTGTTCATGTGTACTTGTTTCTGTCTCCCCTAGAATGTCAGCTGCAGAGGGTGGGTAACTTTATCTGTCTTGCTCATTGATGCATCCCAAGTGTCTAGAACTGTGTCTGACAACCACTAAGCACTCCAAACAATGTTATTTTGTCTTTGAATAAATTAAAGAATTATTATTAACACAGTTATCTAAAGGAACTCTTTTTTTTTTTTTTTTTTTGGAGACAGAGTTTCACTCTTGTTACCCAGGCTAAAGTGCAATGGCTCGATCTTGGCTCACTGCAACCTCCACCTCCTGAGTTCAGGCAATTCTCCTGCCTCAGCTTCCTGAGTAGCTGGCATTACAGGCATGCACCACCATGCCCAGCTAATTTTGTGAATTTTTAGTAGAGATGGGGTTTCACCATGTTGACCAGGATGGTCTCGATCTCTTGACCTCGTGATCCACCCGCCTCGGCCTCCCAAAGTGCTGGGATTACAGGCGTGAACCACCGCGCCGGGCCCAAGGAACTCATTTTTAAATTTAAATTGCTTCTTTACAACCTGAAGAGAAACAATGGAAAATAATAAAAATTATGAAATTATTATTTTGGGGTGATGCAAAAAAAAAAAAGTATTAAAGAAGAAAAAAATAAATAATTACGAAGAAGAAAAAAAAAAAACTTTATTAAAGAAATTATCATTGTTTCGATCTTAACGTGTTCCCAAGATTATACATCTCTGGGAAGGGGGTTTTCTGGTCTATCAAGTCTGAAAGATGCTGCGATAAAATGACAATGGCTTAAGTAGAGGGTGCCTGGGGTCAGGGAAGAGTTCTTGGAAGGGATGATTTCTATCTAAGCCGAGATTGAGACTGGCCACGGGAACAGTAGGAAGCGGTCATTCCAGGAAAAGCAACCAGCAGGTGCCTTTTGTTGGCTGGTGTGCATGAAATAATTCACTCTGGGTTGGGAGTCAGGGGCGGCAGCCCAGGCATTCTCCCAGTGGGAGGCCCTCTTTGTCCACAGCTACTGGCCAGTGAGCAGGAGGATTCTTCTCCACACCAACTCCTTCCTTCTGAGCTGTCCTCTGCAATGCTTCCCCTCTGTTAACCTCTAGCCACCTCTCCTTTTGCCTGGAAGGGACGACTAGCCACTCCCTGGGGTGAGGCAGCTG